CAGCGGTCCGAGGATTGATATTTGAAGAAAGGCTTGGTGCATGCGTGGTGCAAATGCATATTGCATGGTAGGGTGGAGGAGGATAGAACGGAGCGAAGAGGACGCGGAGCAAGACGGGCCAAATCGGCTTGGACAAGCCATCATGGGGGCCTAACGGCGAACGGCTTGCGTTCCTGAGAGCGTGGCTGGACAAGGGCTGCGAGGTGCGTGTTCATGATTTTCGGCGTTGTCCCGCGACTCGCCCCGCGGCCCGCCAGAGCACGCGCGCTTGCTCAAAACGCGCCCGCCCGCGACCCGCCTGCGATCCGCCCGCGACCTCGGCGCAATCTCGCGATCCGTGCACTCGATCTGGCACGCACCTTCATGTCCCCGATCGCCATCAGCATCTTCGCCTGAAAAGGGTATCGTTTTTTGGTCACGTGTTCGAGAGGGCCCTCTCGAAAATAATGCGCGCATTGTGGGGTCTTCTGCGTTCGCCCTCAAGGAAATCGCGAAACCCGCGCCGCGGGGCCACGAGGGGGCCACAAGGCCACGGGGCTGAGGTGAAAGCGGAAGCGGCCCATCTGAGGTGGCCCAGTTAGCCCTGGGCTGGGAAGGGGTCGGGAGCGGGCTGAGAGAGAGAGAGAGAGAGAGAGAGAGAGAGAGAGAGAGAGAGAGAGAGACCCCAAACTGGGCGTCAATATTTTCAAACATACTGACGCCCCTTTTTCGGCGGCGCCGTTAGAAAGTTTGACCCCCCTCACGCGCTGGGAAGGAAGGACATCTGCATATGGTGCGCCAGTGTGAATGCGATCTCTGAGATGGCTCTCCACTGTCGCAGTCACTGCCCCATGCCCGCCTTGTTTTCGGACTCTGAATCTTGAAGATCCAATCTGGCGCTTTCCAGGTCAAGGCGGGCAGGGACGGTGATTGCGACGACGAAGAGTCATCTCCGAGATCACAGTCGCACCATCGCACCATTAGGTGTGCATTCAACTAGGCGCGTCACGAGGGCCAAACATGTGAAACGGCACCGCCGAACAAGGGCGTCTGTATTTGTAAAAATTGCGACGCCCAGTTTTGGGCCTCTCAGCCTGCCCCCGACCCCTGACCCGAAGCACGAGGGCCACTTGGGGAACTGAGTTGGGCCACTGGGCCCTGCGGAGCTTGGACCCCCTCTGGGTGAAACGATCGGGTCGACAACTCAACTTCTGATGTTCGTACGCTTCCTGACGAGGCGTCTCGGAAACGGTGTTTTTGGTAGGGTGTCTCGTTTACTTGCTTACCCCCCCCCCCTCACGATCACCACGCCAGTAATCGGTGCTACTCGCTACATGCGGTTACACATTGGTTACACCCACGTTGCGCCCATGTTAGAGCTTGCGCCTCGATGCGTGCATCCGTTTGGAATCATCCTAAGCTTTTAACTCAAACGCCGTGCCCCACCAGGAATATGAGCGGGCGAAGGAGGAGGGAAAAGGGCGACAGAGAAGGGATGAGGGGTGAAAAAAGGTGGGAGGAGGAGCGACTCACTTTCTGGCCCGACGACCGGCGCCTCAAGAAAATACCCAAAGCCTTAATGCAATGCTTTTCGTGGGCTGCAGCCTGCTCTAATGACCGCTCTGTTGCGGACATCGCCGCAGGATGATAAGATGATTTTGAGTTGGCTTCAAAATAACGCTTCGTATTTTCACTCCAAAACTAATGCAGCGCAATACTTGCGGAAAAAATCCATTGCACAGTTGGCTTGTACGGGCCATTGCAAGACATGCTGTAGATTTGAGACACTCGTCCCACCATAGGTTCCGAGGTATAAGACTGAGTGAACCTCGGATTTGCCAGCCGAGCTTGAGAGCACAAGTGGGCCACAACATCATGTAGCTTGGGCTTCGTGGGCAACCTGCATCTATCCCTGCCCAGCGAAAGAACACCTAAAAGCTGGTAGTTTTGCCCAAACCTCAAGGTGTGACGCTCGAGGCCCCGCCTTTCATCATCGCCGGAAAAGCAGCCGGCTGAGTAACAAATATCATAGATGCGCGACAAAGACTCTATGACCTTAAGGGCGTGTTTATTCTCCTTGCATGGGTCTAACACCGTGGCCCTTTGCTGGAGGTTCCAGGTGTACTTGACGAGTCCTCGGGTGTTAGCTGCCTTCACGCCTGCGCCGTGAAATTCTGGGAACTCGCCGGACGCGCATATGTTTGCCGACGTCAACCGGCCTACCCGGTTGCTCTCCCCAGTCGCCGTGTAGTGCGCCCTGATGTCGTCGTTCAAGAAGTCTATGCGCTCGCCTATCGTAGCACCAGGAAGTATGTTTGCAAAATCATTGATGCGCATTTGGAAGATGTTCCCAATGACTGACCCTGTCACGCCGTGATGGTCGAGCATATGCATCAGGTCCAATCTGTATGTGAATTTCGAAAACCACCCATCATAGGAGAAGATCGGGTGAAGAGGCCTCCGGATGTTTGCCACGAAATCTTTGTTGTCGTATATTGTGTCTCTCCAGGCGGCTCCACCGCCAAAGCAATTCTGAGGCACTGCAGGGCCATTCGCTGCAGCACTAAAGGCGCACATGCTCACTGAGTTAGAGTGAGGCAAGCCCAAAACGTTGCAACAATATTCCAAATCATTGCCAAAAAACAACAGGATCCCGCCCCACTCCTCATCTTCGGACACAGGGCCCGCAATTTTTTTGAAACTGCGCATTATTGGTTCCCGCGAGCGGTCTGGTGGAGCGTCGTCATCTTTGACCCCAGTGCCCATCATGAAACGGCATTCCCTCTCAGCGCCGATGCCCACCACCGAGTAGAACATTCGAGCGGACGTGGTTGTTTTTTTGCAAAAGGCCCAGCGTCGTCGAACAACATCAAGGGCGTGTGCTTAGCCAATTGCTCAGGGGGGCGCCCACGGAGCCATGGATGCGCATCCCAAAACAATGGCCCGTCTGGTTGATCAAGCAGTTGTTGCCACCAGCTTACAAGCCCTTTGGGGTCAGCGCCCATGTGGATGCGAAATCTGCGGGGGCTCGCTTCTCGAAGCCAGTGAAACAACTCGTAAGGAAGAAGAACTTGCTCCATAAAACTGCCTGGTAGATTCGTTGGTTCGCACATCTCGCTCCACAGTGCGATGGATTCGACCGGCCTCTCAGCATTCCCAGGGTTGTTGTAGCATCGAGCCAATCGCCATACTTTCGCATCTTTGCTTCCATCTCGTTTGGCATTGTAGCAATTGCGCACGACGTCTACTGCGGGAATTCGCCCCCATGCCCATGAGAGAAGCCACGCGGCGAGTTGGTGACATAATTCCTCGCGCTGAGGCCTGATGGGAGATCTACTGCGCAGCCTCTGCCTCCAACCCACCATTGCTACATTGCTGCGTCGATGCAGAATGGCTGCGTTTCATCTGACCAACCAAACTGAAACTAATCGCCCTTTCGCCCCGCCCCCTCCCCCCCCCCCCCCCCCCCCCGCATCCCTTCTGGCCGCGGAATATGGGCGCCCACCGCTTATTCAACGCACCCAATACCCCGAAAAGGGGGCTTGTCAGGTTGCCCAATACCCCGAAGGGGGCCCCAAGAGGCGCCCAGACTGCCCCAAGAAACCTCCAAGAGGCCCCCTAGAGACCCCCAAGAGACCCCCAGGAAGCCTCAAGAGGATCCCCGAGGCACACAAGAAGCCCCTGGCCCATGACAGGGAGCTGCTGGCGAGCAGTACGGGATGTAATTCTGTCCCATGAATTACAATGTTTTCTGTCCAAAACGCGATGATCAAACATTTGCAGATTCAAGCAAACATTGAACATGGCATTTTTGTGCGTTCGCATTGTATTTTCCAATACTTTCGTGCTTATGGAGCTGCATCAACGGAAATCGCTGTCATGAGTTAGTGGGCCGAACATGCAATTTGGTTTCCACTTCCCTGGTCCCTCGACCTCCCTCTCCTCCCTCTTCTATCTGCCGTATCGCCCTCCTCCTCATGGTCCCAATCTTTGCTCCCGCACTTCCCTGATCACCTCAACTCGCTTGGGCGTCATTTCTGGATGGGCTGGTGGGATGCGCGAAGCGTCAAGAATTTGCCCAATACCCCGAAAGGGGGGGTCAATTTGCCCAATACTCTGAAGACGGGTTTGTAGGTTTGCTCGATACCCGTGGACCTCCCGCACCCAAGTTGGTAAGGGCTTAACACAACAACACCCAAGACATGGCCAGACGGCCAAAACGACTGCGAGCGTTGATATGATGATGATTTCGGGTGACTTGGAAATCAGGAAGGCCTATGCCAAAACGCATCCTCAAGCGCACCGGCAGCCGCATGAAGGGCCGCGCACAATCGCCGCAAATATGGGCATTGACCCAGGTGGCCAGGCTGCGCTCAGACTGCACGAAAGCAGGCTCGCAAAGATGAGCGCAAAAGCTCACAGATGCACCGGGGCGACGGGGCATCCAGAATCTAGAGCTGCTCAGTTTTTTTGCCGTCGTTGCCATTGTCTGAATCATCCCACGCGTGTCTTTGACGAGTTTCGCGAGCGTCCCCGTCTTCGCAATCAGATTTGCCGACTCCTGAGCGGAGGTAGCGCCGCCCCCGACCAGCTTCTCGATCGCCTCGGAGACCTCCGTATCGATCGTTGCCATCTCAGCCAGGTTGGAGGTTGCTTTCTTGAACAGCGCCTCGACGTACCTGAGGGCGCGGCGCACGCCAGAGCACGGAGGCCATTGCCCGCCCTCTCAAGCAGTTCGTCTAGAAATTGTGCATGGTCTAGCGCGGCAGCGCACATCGAGATGCGCATCGTGCTCGCGTCGTATTTTTCAGACTTGCGTCAGACTTGTCAGACTTGGTCAGACTTGCTATGTCTTATTTCTAAGCATGGCAAGTCTGACCAAGTCTGACCAAGTCCGACTCAAGTCTGAAATGTCTGACTCGCTCTTGGTTCCGAGTACGTCTGGCATTCGATGGCATTTGTGCTATATGTGGTTCGATATGCGTTGCCGCTCCAAATGATTGTCTCGCGTGCTCTGGAACGCGCCCACCCCGTGTCTCGGGGATCTCTTCTGGTCGTACTTCGCAGCTTTGGCTTTGAAGTCGAGCAAATTGCTCTGGCACATGTTGCGGGCCTTCCGCAAGGCGGGCAAGGGGGGAGTCCGCGTCGTCAGCAAGGGCGGAGTCGTTTCGCGCCTCCGAGTTCCAGGTGATCTTGTGCTCGTCGTAGGTCTCCTCGAGCTGCCGGTCGGTCTTCAGGCGGTACTCCCGCTGTTCCTCTTTCGGCGGGGCCTTCGTTTCCTTGTCGGAGCGGTCGAGCTCTGAGTGCGGGCGGGTGTCCACCTTTTTCTGCTTCACCATAAGCGCAGCGACAGCTGCGCCTTTCTCGTCGCACAGCTTCTTCCACGAAACCCAGGCATTGACCCTCTGCTCTTTGTCGATGTGCCCGACCTTCCGCATGCGGTTGAAGTATTCGGTGTTGTAGTTGTCGGCCTCGAGCACCTCCTTGATGAACTCGAACTTCTTGGGGTCTTGGGGTGCTTTCTTTAACTTGACAGTCTCGGCGAACTGCTTCACGTGTTGTGGAGCGAGCTTCAATTTGTGGTCGAATTGATTCAAGGTTTTCTTGTCAAAAGTCCTGGATTCGGTAGCTGCGGACGCCGCTGCTTTCAAGCACGCCGGCGCTGGCCTCTCCTGCTTCACCGCGGCGGGCATTTTTTCCCCATTGCTGGCGCCGCGCGGGGCGACAGTCGAGTAACGAGATCTGCGAATGAGCCCAAAGTTCTACACGTATGAATGGCCGCGCGAATTCTATCTCAATGGACGCGCCGACATGATTGCGATGCTCATGGGTAGTCCAGGCTGGCAGCAGCCTCGATATCCGACGGTGCGCAGAAGCAAACGGACTAATATTCAATCATTCCAGGCCCCCCAGGTCCCAAGAGTGCGGCAAACGGGCATAATATTCTGACTATTCCGGGTCTCCCAAGTCAAGATGGCACAGCAGGGGTATCGGATTCTCACCGTTCCAAATCCACCAGGTCCAGAAAGTGCCGCGGGGGTGCAAAACTCTCACCATCCTAATCTACCAGGCCCAGAAGGTGCGGCAGGGGACGGAGACTGGGGAGAGGAAGAGGAGACGGTAGACTGGGACAGAAGCGCTCGGGGAGAGGGGGGGCAGGGCTAGGGGAGGCAATTGGAAGAAAATCGAGTGACCACGGTGACACTTTCTTGCCGCTTGGCTACAGGAGTTGATTCATGCACATGGAATATGGAGTAGGGGCGCAGCCTGGCAACCTACTCAAGGGCATCCCCTCAGCGCAGCTATCGACCACATCTACGTAGACAACGTCATGTTTTGATAAGTTCGCCCAGCATACCTCTCGCGGTAATCTTGTCCGTAGTGAGGCCCATCAGCTCCACTGATTCCTTGAGCTGAGTGAGGATTGCCTCGTAGTTGACGTGGGCCTTCTTAGAACAGCCGACGAGGTACTTGCCATCTTGATTGAGTTCCCCCCCCCGCTCTGTGCTCTGGTTGGCTTCGCAGCTTAAGGCTGAATACAAGCTTCTTGATGGCATCTGTTGCACCTGCAGCAGCTGGTTTTGGCATGGTGGCAACTGCTGCGGGTCGTCTCATGCCTTCTGTTTCGGCTGCCCCGGGCCTCCTAGGGGCCCTCTTGCGGCCACCGCGCTGCGCCGGCACGTTCAATGTGTTTCCAGCTGCAGCTGCTGAGTGCTCGGACATCTCCGCGTCAGAGCTCACAACTTCTGCTTTCAGACCTCTGGGCAAAGGCAGACGAACCCCATCACCTTCAAAGACTCCTCGCTGTCCTGCTTCCCCAACAAGCGTCTACGAGCCACTGGGGGACCTGATAATTCGTCTGGCTTCAGCGACTCCACCTGGCCCACCAACCTCTTCAGGGTAGGATTGAAGAATGGCGTGTCGCTCTTCTTTAGATCGACCAAGTGTTTACAGCAGAGCCGCACTGCATCCGCGCACCGGGACGACCACTTGTCAATAGGCCCGGCCACGTCTTTGCCCATTATCTTCCAATCTTTGTTGCGTTTTTCCCACGTTGCTTTAAGAAACGAGTGCCCTGGATAACCATGCGGCGCGAAGAGAAGAGTCACGGGCAATATTCTCTCGTAGAATTCCAACCCATCCCGATCGGGTCCTTGAGACCGCCTGTTCTTGCTGTGCGAATCTAACTCCCAAGCCAAGGTGAAAGCCTTGGACGATGCGACCGGCTCCAACGCCTGAGCCAACTTCTCAGGGTCGAATTTGTCATTGCATGGGCGGAATCGTTTGCACGTGGACATCGCAAAATATGTGAAGGGCTCGACATGGAAATGGCTGCGTTGCATGCTGTTTAAACGACGACGGGCAGCGTCCCCGAGTAGTGCGGTCCTTAGTTCCTAGCTGCCCCCTTTGATATTTGATTGTTCGACGCCTGTGCGACTGCCCGAGGTCTTAAAGAGCCGTGGCCAGCGCTGAAGCGAGAGCTGATCCGTCATCCCTAGTAACCTGTGGCCCTGTGGTCATCATATTTCCACGCTCTTCTTGTCGGTGCCTCAATGGAGTCGGCAGGGCGGCGCAGAACGCAACTAAAAAAAAAATGGTGCCTAGTCGGTTCGAAGACTGGCGTGATTTAGGGCGGGGTTTTCGGACTCAGCCGACTCAACCTGTTTTTGCATCATCGTCATCATCATCGTCATCGTCGTCGTCATGAGATTCATCATCGTCCGCGTCATCGCCATCATCATCACCATCTCCTCATCATCGTCATCATCATAATATCCATCATCATCATCTCCTCGTCATCGTCATCATCATGTAGTGATGATGATGATGGTTAAATCATGACCCGCATGACGATGATGGCGGCGCGAACATGTTGATGCTGATGATGACGATGATGATGAAGCCGATGATTGCGATGATGATGGCGGTGAAGATGATGATGCTGATGATGATGCTGAGTACTGTGGCAGTCTTATCGGATTCGATTACTGTTGCAGCCTAATCGGAATCGGAAAGCACCACAGCCTCCGTGGAAGCGGGCCACCGCATTTCGTCAAGCACCTCCGTGAGGCCGGGCAGCGCCACGGGGGCCCGTGCCAGGTGATCGGCCACGACGTGGTTCACGACGTTGAAGAACTCCTTCGGGCCAGGCGTGGCGTCGATCCTGCGCGCCCTGTACTCCCGAAAGGCGTCGGAGCGGATCATGACGGCGATCTGCAGCCTGCTGTCGTCTACGCGCTGTTGCAGCTCGTGGTGGGTCGCGAAACAGTCCTGGCAGTCCGCGGAGGCGTGGCGGTGCACGTTGTGCTCGAGGGAGGACAGGGTGCCCATGTAGAAGGACCCAGGCTTCTGCTCGAGGGTGACGACCCTTCCGCAGGAGGCTGTGCTCGAGGGTGACGCCCCATCATGTGCTCCCCCTGGGATCCTCACTTGCACGGAGCGCGCCCCGAAAAGCGTCGCGGCCGCGTGCAACAGGGGGCATCCGCCATCTGTGTGCCAACCATCGTCCAGTGCGCCTGGTTGCATGAGCTGGGTCGATGCGTACGCGAACGCGGCGTCGGCGAAGTGCTCTGTCATGATGGGCTTTCCGTTCTGCTCGGCGATGGCAGGTGGCACGCCGTCGGCTTTGACAGCCTCGCGCATTTTGTCTCCCAGCTGTGAGAGCAACGGGCGCATCTTCCTCCGCAGCGCTCGCACGAAGGCGGCCATGTGGGGCGAGGGGGTGATCTGCAAATTCCCGTCCTCGTTGAGGCTGCGGCACTTCGGGGGGCTTTCGTCGTCCACGATGCCTGCGACCTCTGTTTTCAAGCCCTGTGCCGCCTCGTCGCCTCGGACGCATTTCGAGACGGTTGCCCCCGTGTCCAGGCGCTCCTTGGCCAAGTTCTGCCAGCGCGGGTCTCCCTGCAAGAAGCGGAGCAAGTCTGGGTCCAGCTCCGCCTCCGCTATCGTGCCCGCGCCGTTTTCCCCTGCGCCATGGAGATGCGCACGTCGAGCTGGGCGCCAGCCGGCTGCAAGAAGCGACGCGCCCTTAGACGGCTGATTGTCGCTCTGGCGCCAGGGTGCCAAAGCAGGCAGCTCTCGGCGGCCTTCAACAGGTCTGGGGGGCAGCCTGCAAGTTCGGCAACGGGCCAGCGCCCTCGGCCGTCGAGTGGCTTCGCTGTTTCAGCCTTTAGCCAATCCTCGCCCGACCGCTTGAACCACTTCTTAAAAAAAGGCAAACTGTCCAGCCACGGGGCGGGATCCTCGCAACCGCAGTCTCCGGACCCTGGCTCCTCGCCTGGGATCCCCAAGACCTCCCTGAAGGTATCCACGAAGTCTTTCGGGTGCACCCATGGCTGCCCGATCGCGCCAAAAGGCTCTGGTTGGAACAACACCTGGCGCGCGTGCAACTCCGCGATCAGGCGCCCGATGGACCAGATGTCCAGGTCCTCTGAATAGCGCTGGTTCCCCAAGAAAACGTCTACCGCTCTGTGAGCGGGCGTGCGTACTCCGAGGTCATCGCAGGTCGGGCTGTAACGCAGTTTCTTCTTCAACCTGTCGTGGGAATCCGCCATCTCCACACGGCCGAGGTCGCCGATCACCACCTGCGGAGAGGGGCGGATGGAGGAGAGGGGAGCGACGGCGACTGAGCTCCCCCTGGAGGGAAGGGCGGGATAGAGGGCACGACGACGGCATCTCGGGGGAAGAGTGGAACCTCCCTTGTTAGAACTCGGTGTGAGACCTAACATGAAGGCTAGTGAGGTGCTAGGCTGAGCTCTGACCTCGTATATTAGGGCTCCGTCGGAGCTCTAACACGCTATGTTAGAGCTCCATCGGAGCTCTCACATGCTATGTTCGAGCTCCCTATGTTAGAGCTCCATGGGAGCTCTCAAATAGCAGGTTCGAGCTCCCTGGGAGCTCGAGCATGGCAGGTTACAGCTCCCAAGTAGCTCGAGCATGACTAGAGCATGGCATGTTAGAGCTCCCAGAAAGCTCGAACAAAACATGTTAGGGCTCCCTGGGAGCTCTAACATGGTACCACGTGCCATGTTAGAGCTCCATGTGAGCCCTAATCGTCATCGTCATCATCATCATCATCATCGTCGTCGTCAGCATCATCATCATCATCATCATCGTCGTCACCGTCATCATCATCGTCGTCGTCATCATCATCAGCATCGTCGTCACCATCATCAGCATCGTCATCATCATCATCATCGTCATCATCACCGTCATCATCGTAATCAGCATCCCCCCATGGCCCATGGCCCTCCTCCTGCTCACCCTTTTTCCTGCTCCTGCGCCTCATCCTCCTCCTTCTCCTCCTCCTCGCGCCCCCCCCCTCCTACCCCCCCCCCCCCCGCTGGACCTGGACGGGGCGCCCCGCGGGTAGTTAGAGAGCCCAAGATGGCCCAAGACGGCTCCAAGAGCGCCTCGGAGAGTCGAAAACGCACTGGTAAGCTTAGATATATGTTCCGCCTTAGGCGCCCCCATATCCCAGGCTTTGGCTCATATCGCATGAGCAAGAGGGCGAGACGAAGCATGGGATCTGGAGTAAAGGATAGAAGGGGCATCGCCAATGGAAAAGGTATTTTCCGATCTCAGATACAAGTCGTGCGCCTCGGTGAGGCACAATCGCATATTAGGCCGGGCCCGGCTTGAGCCAGGCACGGCAGCGGCGCATGCTCGATATACATCTCGCCTTTAACCTTCT